CATGGATGCTACATAATAGTTCTTTATCTAATGTGATTGGGAAATATTGGATACCTGCTAATTACTTTCCAGCCACGCAAGAAACATCAGTCTAAGTTGAGTTTCATTAATTTTTCTCTAACTCGGTCTAAAAACCAAAAATTCAGCACATTTACGCACTAGTATCGCAGAGGTCAGTGGTTCGAATCCCGTACAGGCCTGAATTTTTTTCAGGTCTGATTTTCACTATTGCTTAAATAGTGCTTTACTGCGAAGGATCGTGCACATATACGTTTCATAACCGCAGTTCATATATATGTATTTCATATGTTTGTTGTTTGATTTATCATCTACGGGTTTATGTCGAATTAATTTGATGGCCTGCTCCCAGTTGGCTTGTTAGCTCAATTGGTAGAGCGCTGCACTAGTATCGCAGAGGTCAGTGGTTCGAATCCCGTACAGGCCTGAATTTTTTTCAGGTCTGATTTTCACTATTGCTTAAATAGTGCTTTACTGCGAAGGATCGTGCACATATACGTTTCATAACCGCAGTTCATATATATGTATTTCATATATATTTATTATAAGTGCAAGTGAAAGATAGCAACGATGGAAGCTACAAAGTCAGCTACTTTGCCAAAGAAACCGGAAGATGCCAAACAGTAGTCAAAGTGAACGAAGCAGCAGTTCATGGCAGTCCTTTCTCGGTTCAAGTTTCACCCAGACAATTCAGACTCGTGTTATCCTTAAGTCAACAAGGTTCGTCTCCTGAAATGTTACGCAATCCCTGGGGAGTGGCAGCGATTGAACGTAATGAAATGGTAGTGACCGAGACAGATAACCACAGGGTTCAGGTATTCAGTAGCCATGGAACGTACTTAAGATCTTTTGGTAACATAGGTGACAAACAGGGAGAGTTCAACTGGCCTGCTGGGATAGCTTCTGATAGAAACAGTAACATTATAGTGGTGGACAATGGTAACCACCGTGTTCAATTGTTCACTGAGCAGGGTGAATACCTGAGTCAGTTTGGTGGTAAAGGAAATCTTGATCATCAGCTGTTTAATCCTCTTGGCTTATGCGTAGACGACGGAAATATAATCATTGCTGATTCAGACAACAAATTAATCAAGATGTTTTCTCCCGAAGGCCATTATTTAAGTAAATTGGGGGGTGAGGGTTTTTTAACTTTTCTCTTTTACTGTATACAGTCTGGAAAATATCTGATAGTGTCAGACTACGATGAACATTGTATCAAAGTGTTTGATAGAAATGGTAATTTTTTGTACAAATTTGGAAAGAAGGGGGAGGGGAATGGGGAATTCAACAAACCTCGTGGTTTGTCAATTAACAAGGCAGGACACCTGCTGGTCTGTGATTCATTGAATTTCAGAGTTCAGGTATTTGATCTTAGTGAAAAGTTTATAACAAAGTTTTGATCAAAGAGGGAGAAGAGAGGAGAATTTAATCCGCCTGTCTCTACTGCTGTACTACGAAAAGGAACACCCTGCATTAGCTAAAAGAATTGCTTACTTTTTAAGGAGAATTTTCCAGCAGAGAAAGCTTAGCGACTGTCAGAATCTGTTTTAGCTACGAAATACGGTAGAAATCGATTATTTATTGACAGAACCCAAGAGTCATTTTTCCCGTACAGAACGCGTTCTCTGTTATTCTGTCACGCAATGCTAACTATAAATCAAAGGCGGCTGGCGTTGGAATTCTGCCTGCTGTTCCAGAATAATAATANTCAATAACTACACAGGTTTTAAAACTTTTGTTTCATGTCAAGTCTAACACGATGACAAGAATACAAAATTCAGTTGTACCAGATCATTAATTATGTTTAGAGGTACAGCTTCAAGTAATGTTACATCTAAGATAAAGCAATTGTACAGCCATAGGTATTTGTTCGATTGTTTTCACGATACTGAGCTGGGAACCTATTCCTGAGTTAAACCAGCAGAGTATTTAGACTGTTCTTTGACATTTAATTTGGTAAAATTTTCTTATTACATATATAAATATGCAATATAAAATTGTAAATAATCGAAATATAAAAATATGTCAATAAAATAGTTGTGATTGTTAGTAAACTTTGCTGTATACTAAGTCTTTGATAAAAACAAAAAAGAGTGATTCGAAACTTTCTGACTGATTTACGAGCAATTTACAAGGAGACGTTGCACATCCACCCGCTAAAATAATCTCATTAAAAAAGGCATTAATAATTCATGAGCTGATTAGCCTATCACACGAGGCAAATCGATCACGTGTATGAACCTTTATAGCCGGTATAGAATAATCATTCTGAAAAGTCCGGAGAGGGTTTTGATTTCGGTCTCGGGGAAAATCGGGGTACGATTCATAAACAACTAAATCATCAATGAATTATTAATGAAAATATGATTACTATGATCACTAGAGATCTTTCACGTTAGTTTTAATACCAAATTATTCCCCAAAAGGCAGCATACAAAAAAATTAACCGCAGTAAACAACAAAGTATATAAATAGCTTTATTTACAAGCCGGAAGTAGTGTTTCACCCCTGAGAGATCCAAGCCAACCGGAAGCTCTTTCAGTGCACCCTTGAGAGTTTGTAACGCAACACGCTAATGCTAAATGCGCTTCCGACTGTTTTGTGAAAACTAAAATCCTTCCCAGAGATAAATAATGGCCAGTTTTTTTTTTTTTCGTAAAACGCGGCCATGCCCTAAACTTTGTTTCTTTTATAACTTCAAGTTCCGAAAACATCACGTAATTCGGGGTTACTTGATTGCTCCTTCCACTGGTAGGCAACTTCAGACACGGGTAATGCTCGCAGCTGTTGGCGCAGAAAACAAAGACATGTCCATAGCTAATTAGTGGAGCGCGCATGTTTGGACGCTAAGAAAAGTTGTACAAACCACACAGAGTGGACGGCAGCAGGAATCTTTCCTTTAAATAATTTACTACTGTTATTACTGTTGTAAGCGTATTCCACGTGTATTTGCGATTTATTTTGCTGAGATGTGTTACTATTTGTTAACCCAAAGATGGCGGATTAGAGTTAATGATGTGACCTGATGTTTGTTCTCTTTTTATGGATTGGATTTGCTTTGATATTACATGAGGTGTGAAATGAGAAACTTGTAACCCGGATGAAAAAGCACATGTTTTGGAGTAGAGAAGGTTTTTTTTTGGCTTTGTAAAAAAACTGACAGAGTTTCGGAATAAATTGTGGTAAACAAGTTACAAATTATGTCCATTTGAAGTCTCGGCAACACCTGATTTAATAAATTTTCTGATTAAAGATCTATCTATCTGCATAAGAATGCTCTTGGCCAGCCACTTGGTGCTGTGTTCGTCTACCAGCCTCTTCGAGCCCATATTTACTTGCTGGTCAAAAAAGGTCTTGATGGGCCACACATTAATGAGAATCACAGAGAACATGGGTGTAGTTTAATAAGAACGAGAAGGCGAAAGAGATAAAGTCATGAGTAATCCAGGATCGCATTAATTTTGCTATACTCTTCTCTGTGATTGGTACAAAAAAAAAAAAACTCGCACTACT